ATATTTAGAATTCCTAATAAAAAAATAAGATTCTGGTTTAAATTGGAATTTTATCTGTAAAAATCTCCAAATGTTTTTTTGCCATCCCACAACGCCACCATATGTGGAAGAAGGTGCCTTTTTTCCTTTCCCATTTCCAACAGTTTGCGTTCATATTTTTGTAGCATTTCGCCGGTCTATCCAGGGTGACATACCCTGATTCCCCAAAAATAAGATCTAGCAGAGGTTTTGCTGAATTGCTAAATATAAGACCTTTCCCAAAAGTAAGACCTAGCAAAGTTTTTGTTTGGAAGCATGCTCCCCTGGTGGCCAGAAGTTGCAATACCATCCGTGCTGTATAAGTGGTCCAGGAACTGCGGTGGGAGATTGTTAAGTCTCCAGACATTGTGTGGGAGCCAGGCTTCCCTGCGTAATCTGTCATGGAAGTTGTTAGAGTGGTTCAGCATTTCTGTGTTCTCAAATAATATGCTATGTCCTCTCACCTCTGCAGGAGTCTACCATATACCATAAGGACCCCGCAACACAGCAGCGTTGTCCAAACACGAATCAAGATTATTATTATTATTATTATTATTATTATTATTATTATTATTAATCTCCTTTGGGGTGACACCTTCTGCTGTCAAGAATTCAATGACTGCACATTGCTTAAGTCACATTGCAGGGTTCCATACTTTGCACTTTAACAACACAACCGTTCAATGCTAAGGCTTCTCGCCAAAATAGAACTGTAGAGGAGAGACTACTGAACAAGCCAGTACCTGCTGCATACCAGTACTGCCATCTGTTGAGGAGTTATGAAAGTGGAAGCATTACTTTTCATTCAACCCTAGTATATTATTGAGAAGACAGTAATGCTGGACCACTCTAACAACCACCGTGTCAGACTACACAGAGAAGCCATTGAAATCCACAAGCATGTGGACAATTTCAACAGGAGGAGGAAACCATGAAAATGAACAAAATCTGGCTACCAATATTAAAAAAAAACTCTAAAATCAGGATCGTAAATAAAGAAGAACACTAAAAAAAAGGGGGGGGGGAATTCCAGATAAGAAACAATCAGAGCCAGCTGATCACCTCCCAACAAAGGATTCCCCCAGGCAGTAAGAAGCCACGCCTTGAAAACTGCTAAGCTATTAAATGCTAATCAAGATGGCAAATTGCAACATTCACACCTACCGCGAACAGACAAAAGTTCTTTCTCCCACCCTGGACATTATTCCACAGATATAGGGAAAGGTTTCCCCCTGAAATTAAGTCCAGTTGCGTGACCGCATTTCGGTATATGAACCCACACGATCTCTTCGTTCATCTGGAGAGGCCCTGCTCACGATCCCACCTGCATCGCAAGCGTGATTGGTGGGGATGAGGGACAGGGCCTTTTCGGTGGTGGCCCCACGACTCTGGAACTCCCTCCCCAAGGACATCAGGCAGGCCCCAACGTTGGCAGTTTTTAGAAAGAGCTTGAAGACGTGGATGTTCCAGTGTGCCTTCCCAGAATAAAGACTCCCAAGCAATATGTCCCAAATGCACTTTATGAGAGAGTTACTATTGTCTGCACGCCCACCTATCTTTAAAATATCCAACCTATTTCCCAGGGCATGCCCAGCATTTTAAAATTTGAATTCTTACATTTGGCCCTGCCACAGTTTTTAATTGTGTTGTGTCATTATTGTATTGTTTTGCTTTGTTATGAGTTATTTATAGTTGTATTGTTGTTGTTATGTTTTATGATGTATTTGGGCTCGGCCTCTTGTAAGCCGCACCGAGTCCTGCGGGAGATGGTGGCGGGGTATAAATAAAGGTTTATTATTATTATTAGTTGTGTCCCACTCTGGGGGTTTGTGCTCACCTCCATTTCTAAGTCGAAGAGCCAGCGTTGACCATAGACACCTCCAAGGTCATGTGGCCCGCATGACTGCATGGAGTGCCATTATATAAACCCCATTTCCCTAGTTTCCAACAGACCTCACAACCTCTGAGGGTGCCTGCCACAGATGTGGGCGAAACATCAGGAGAGAATGCTTCCGGAACATGGCCATACAGCCCAGAAAACTTACAACAACCCGTATTCATTCTTTTCTTTTGCCATTTTAATCTTCTAACTCCAAAGTTTAATAGAAGTGCTATATTTGGATATATATTTTTTGTAAATTGATCAATTGTATGTCATTAATTTCAACAAATTCTTTTTGAAAGGGGAAAATAACAGAGGATATATAAACCCCATTTTCCTAGTTTCCAACAGACCTCAAAACCTCTGAGGATGCCTGCCATAGATGCAGGCAAAAATGCTTCTGGAACATGGTAGTACAGCCCAGAAAACACACAACCCAGATTCCAGCCATGAAAGCCTTAAGACAATATATTCAACAATATTGTTGGGTTGTTGTAGGTTTTTCCGGGCCATGTGGCCATGTTCTAGAGGCATTTTCTCCTGACGTTTCACCTGTATCTATGGCAAGCATCCTCAGAGGTAGTGAGGTCTGTTGGAACTAGGAAAAAGGGTTTATACATCTGTGGAATGACCAGGGTGGGACAAAGGACTTTTGTCTGCTGGAGCTAGGTGTGAATGTTTCAACTGACCACCTTGATTAGCATTTAATGCCTTGGAAGTGCCTGGGGGAATCTTTTTTGAGAGGTGATTTGATGTGCCTGATTGTTTACTCTGTTGTTTTGCTGTTGTAATTTTTGAGTGCCAGACATTTGGATTTGTGGGTTGTGTAGGTTTTTCCGGGCTATATGGCCATGTTCTAGAGGCATTTTCTCCTGACGTTTCGCCTGCATCTATGGCAAGCATCCTCAGAGGTAGTGAGGTCTGTTGGAAGTAGGAAAAATGGGTTTATATATCTGTGGAATGACCAGGGTGGGACAAAGGACTTTTGTCTGCTGGAGCTAGGTGTGAATGTTTCAACTGACCACCTTGATTAGCATTTAATGGCTTGGAAGTGCCTGGGGGGAATCTTTTTTGAGAGTGATATTCAGGCCATTATATGTTAATCAAGGTGGTCAGTTGAAAAATTCACACCTAGCTCCAGCAGACAACAGTCCTTTGTCCCACCCTGGTCATTCCACAGATATATAAACCCCTTTTTCCTAGTTCCAACAGACCTCACTACCTCTGAGGATGCTTGCCATAGATGCAGGCGAAACGTCAGGAGAAATGCCTCTAGAACATGGCCATATAGCCCGGAAAAAATCTACAACAACCCATGGATTCCGGCCATGAAAGCCTTTGACAAAACAATGTTGTTGTTGTTGTTGGAGATCCAGTCCTGCAACAGGTGTGGAGACATGCTTTAGCCCCACTCCTGACGTATTGGGAGCACTGCAAAAAGACAAGGGAAGTCCCTCTGCGTGTGTCCCGGCCACACTGGCCTCCCACCTCGGCTGCGTTTTTGCTTCCCTTTTTCCTGCGAAGGATACTTGGGTGTGGACAACTTCCTCAGAAAGTTCCCTTCTCCTAGCCCCCCGGAGATCTGGGTCTCTAAAAATACAATGATCCGCCAACACTGTTGGAAATTTTGCAGGAACATATTTCATTTTAATTATATTTTCCCCTTTAGAAGTACCGTACAAAACTCTTCTTCTTTAAACATTTGCGCGAGTACGCGCCTCTCTTACAGTAACAAACCCCAACATGAAATACTGGCATTTGACGACGAGGGAAAGTAAACGGGAATACTTCTTTTTTCTTATCTTAAATGGAAACATGGAAAAAAACTGATGCTGGCGGGAATGAGGAAGGGGAGAATGAGGGAGATGTTATTGCATATTTCTGAAGGGGACACTTTGGAGGCTAGTGGACCCCAGATGGAACAGGGGTTCTACTTTGGTTTTGGGGTATCAAAAGGGTCCTGGGGGGATTCGAAAGGAAGACCTGAAACACTGCAGAGAAGGGTGATATGCTCCGAAATGGCAATAGCAGGGGTGCCCAGCAGCCCTTGTTTGGGGGAGATGTTGCATTCTGGGGGAAATAAAAACGCCCAGGTGATGGGAGACTCAAAATGGGGTCACTCGAGGAGCGGAAAGTGTCCTATTATGGCTTTATAGGGAACGGGAAGAAAAGGCTGCCCTTCTTCCCCAGCATTTGATGGGTCTCCACACGAAAGCCAGCACTAGAATAAATCGGATGCCTGGAACAAGGAAAGTAGAGCGAGAAAGAGTGCCCCTTGTGTAGTGTACAATGTGCGGAGTTGCTATCTTCACCCCAATTTTTGCATATTTAAGGATTAAAAATGGTGGCTGCATGGGACTGAGGTGGGAGGAGGTGGATATGTCTTTCGCAGATAGATAAACCTGAAAGGATGGATTGGGGGGAAGCACCCCGACAGAAAGAGGACAAGAGCTGTGCGAAAAGAAGTCGACCCCTAACAACTGGACACAAGGGGGAAACAGGTGCCTTGTGGGACTGTCATGGTAACTGGCAACCAGGAAGGGACTTAGAAGGTTGTTGGCTGCAAAGGGACTTGGAAAGTTGGTGACTGTAAAGGGAACCGGAAGGTTGGTGACCGCGAAGGGACTTGGAAGGTCGGCGACCGCGAAGGGACTTGGAAGGTCGGCGGCCGCGAAGGGACTTGGAAGGTCGGCGACCGCGAAGGGACTTGGAAGGTCGGCGACCGCGAAGGGACTTGGAAGGTCGGCGACCGCGAAGGGACTTGGAAGGTCGGCGACCGCGAAGGGACTTGGAAGGTCGGCGACCGCGAAGGGACTTGGAAGGTCGGCGGCCGCGAAGGGACTTGGAAGGTCGGCGGCCGCGAAGGGACTTGGAAGGTCGGCGACCGCGAAGGGACTTGGAAGGTCGGCGGCCGCGAAGGGACTTGGAAGGTCGGCGACCGCGAAGGGACTTGGAAGGTCGGCGACCGCGAAGGGACTTGGAAGGTCGGCGACCGCGAAGGGACTTGGAAGGTCGGCGGCCGCGAAGGGACTTGGAAGGTCGGCGACCGCGAAGGGACTTGGAAGGTCGGCGACCGCGAAGGGACTTGGAAGGTCGGCGGCCGCGAAGGGACTTGGAAGGTCGGCGACCGCGAAGGGACTTGGAAGGTCGGCGACCGCGAAGGGACTTGGAAGGTTGGCGATCGCAAAGGGACTGGTCTTGGCGTTGTGTCTTGGGGAGATTCCCTTCACCTGGGGGGATGCTGGGCCAGGATAGGGTGGGCTAAGGTGACGTTGAGGGAGTCGTTGTGCTGGATGAGTGAGGTGTGCCGGTAGTGCAGGACCAGCTCCTGCAGAGAGGCGTAGAGGTTGTAGGGCTCCGCGAAGCCAAAGCCCGTGGCCGTCTTGTAAATCACGCAGTGCTTGGTGTCGCCATCCACCCTGTAAGAGGAAAGAGGGCACGAAGCACAGACCGGTGTCACTTTTGTAATCTATACATCTAGCTATCTATCCTTTCTCTCTAATTTATTTATCTAATTTATACATCTATCTATCTAATCGAGTGGTTCTCAACCTGTGGGTCCCTAAGTGTTTTGGCCTACAACTCCCAGAATCCCAGTTTACCAGCTGTTAGGATTTCCGGGAGTTGAAGGCCAAAACATCTGGGGACCCACAGGTTAAGAACTACTGATCTAATCTCTTTCTAATTTATACATTTATCTAATCTCTTTCTCTCTAATCTAATTTATTATTCAGTTCCTGTGGGTTTTTTCGGGCTATATGGCCATGTTCTAGAGGCATTTCTCCTGACGTTTCACCTGCATCTATGGCAAGCATCCTCAGAGGTGGTCCTTTTTCAGACCTCACCTCTGAGGATGCTTGCCATAGATGCAGGCGAAACGCCAGGAGAAATGCCTCTAGAACATGGCCATATAGCCCGAAAAAACCCACAAGAACTGAGTGATTCCAGCCATGAAAGCCTTCGATAATTTATTATTATTTATTTACATTATTTACACTATTTATACCCCACCCGTCTCATCCCGAAGGGGACTCAGAGTGTCTTAGAGAACACACATACGGCAAACATTCAATGTCCATTATACAATTCACAAGGACAGACAACACGAACAGGCTTGGAGGCCATCTTGGAGGGGGGGGGAATGCTGTCACTCCAACTTGTATGCTGAGGAGCTTTTCTCTGATCCATGTCTTTAAGAGCACCTTTATTACCTCCCCACTAAAAGCAGTCCCTATTTACCTACTCACATTTCTGCTTTCGACCTGCTAGATGGCAGGTGATCTGGGGCTAACGGCGGGTTTTCACCCTGACCTTTCGATCAACAGGATTTTTCTGCAGTACAGCGGTTTAATCTGCTGTGCTAAGCCCAGATATCCATCTGTAATCTATCTATTTAATTTATATAGCTATCTAATCTCTCTCTCGCTAATCTATCTAATTTATACATCTATGTAATCTATCCGTCTATCTACCTAATTGATACATCTATTAATCTAATCCAAGACTGCCCAACATTTTGGACTTCAGCTCTCAGAATCACTGGTGTTGCAAGAGATGGAATAAGGGGTTTCTGGGAGCTTAAGTCCAAAACGCCTGGAAAGTGTTTCAAATAATGAAATGTGTTGGGGGAGGGAGAGAACTCACACGACGGAGCATGCGTAGCACCCGCGCTGGCTGCTCTCCCGGATTAGGAAGGTCCCGTCCCGCTTGCCGGCCAGCATCTCCTCTGCCTGAGTGCGGTGGATTTTGCCCACGTACCACGTGCGTTCGTCGTGGTGCGGCAGCTCTTCCTCATCCTCCATCATGGAGTATTGGCTGCACATAGGGAGGAGGGCACAGAAACACAATCAGCCCTTGAGTGAGGAGGAGGTTAGAATGAAAGGTTTGCTCTCTTGGACTACATCTCCCAGAAGCTGAGGGACGGGGGACTTGTTATTTCAAAGACACCCCCCTCAGAACCCCCTCACCACCAACACAATGTTACAGCATGCTCAAAAGAGAGCCACATACTCCTCAGTTTCATTCTTGATCCCGAGCCATTCGTTGATTTTTTTTTGCCTCGTTCCCTTCTGTGTCAGCCACCTGGAAGAGATCAGAAAGGGAAGTGATCACCCCGTAGATCCAACTGTGCCCAGCGGGAGCTTAATAACTTATGGACCAAAGTATGGAATCAAGACAGGAGAACAGGGGACATCTATTGACCCTGAGATTATTAAGACAAAAAAATGAGTCGGAAGGAAAAAATGGATTCATCCCCATACTGAGTACACATGTGAGGACAATTAAATGGTTCAAAACTTTTGCAAACACTGAAGAAAGTTAGAGAGTTCAGATTCAAACTTCCAGATAAAAACATACACTTTACTGAACTCTGTCACATTTCCATCAACTATGAGAAAGGACTTCATCCCCGTACTGAGCACACATGTGGGGATGATTAAATGGTTCAAACCAGTAGCAACCCTTGAGAGTTCAGATTTATTTATTTACGATATTTCTATCCCGCCTTTCTCAAGCCCAAAGGCGACTCAAGGCGGCTTCAAATTCCCAGACAAAAACACACACTTTACTTTGTCACATTTCCATCCATTCAGTCAGCTGTATGAGAAAGGACTTCATCCCCCTACTAAGCACACAAGTGGGGATGATTAAATGATTCAAACAGGTAGCAAACCTTGGAGAAAGTTTGAGAGTTCGGATTCAAACTCCAGATAAAAACATATGCTTTCCTGAACTCCGTCACATTCATCCACTCATAGTTGGCTCTATGAGACATGACTTCATCCCTGTATTGAGTACACATGCGGGGACAATTAAATGGTCCAAACTGGTATCAAACCTTGGAGAAAGTTAGAGAGTTCAGGTTCAAACCAGATAAAAACATACACTTTCCTGAACATCACATTTCCATCCACTCTTAGTCAGTTCTATGAGAAAGGACTTCATCCCCATACTGAAAACACATGTGGGGACATTTAAATGGTTCAAACTGGTAGCAAATCTTGAAAAAAGAGAGTTCAGATTCCCAGCAGACCTCCTGCTCACAATTTATAAGTTTCCAGAATCCTCAAGTTGTGTTGGTGATAGTCTAAAAACAGTTTTTTTCTCAAACTTTGGGTAATGATAAATAATAGTAAAGCAATGCTTATCCGACCTTCGCTTATCCGACATTTTGTCTTATCCGACGCTCATATCACACACTCCCCTTTTCCTCCAGCATTTCTCCTTCAATTAAAGGAGTGCACCCCAACTCTCTCTCCATTCCCAATAACTGAAAAAGGCAAGACAAGGAGGAGGGAGGAAAGGGGAAAAAGAAGCAGGACCAGAAGTAGAAGCATCCTCCCTCCTTCCCATCCGGGGACTTCCTTTTGGGCCGCCTTAGCCCCAAGGCGTTGCCTTGACTTAAACATTTGAGTCCCTATTGTTAGTATTGTAGGTGTCTAGCACCATGTAAGACAGGTAAACAGTAGGAGACTCCGTATTATTCAACATTTTCATTTATCCGACGTTCTGCTGGCCTGGTTATGTCGGATAAGTGAGACTCTACTGTAGTAGAGTGCCTGGGACAGAAAAGTAAGCAGTGGGGATCCCAACAGAAGCAATGGGGATGGAAACTTTGCTTTCGTTTCTGGAAGGGGGACTCCACCTACACCAGATATTGGTCCCGGAGTTTGCGCAGCTGGAGCAGGTCCGGCTTCAGGCTGTTCATTCGCTTGTCGATCTCCCGGTTTTCACTCGCTTGTTGTTTCAGGTCTTGCTCCAGCTTCATCTTGCTGTCGTGGATCTCCGCGATCCGGGATTTCAGCTTTTCCGAATTCATCAGGATCCTTGGGAGGGGAACAAGTGAGCCATTACATGAGGTCTGTTGATACACCGTGACCCAGTATCTCTAGTGGCCACAGTGGTCCACGCTCTCATTACATCTAGGATAGACTACTACAACGCACTCTACGTGGGGTTACGTTTGAAGACTCACCGTTGCAGCTCCTTGTCATTGCCCTCTCTCCGGAAGCGTTCCATGTAGTCCTGGCTGCACTTCTCTTGGGTCTGGCATTGCTCCTCAAAGATCTTGATGGTTTCATTGAAGGCCTCGATAGCCGTCCGCTTCATCTGTAGTTCCTGCAGACAGACAAGCAGTTGACAGGAAGGCTATCAAGAACTCCAAATCTTCCAAATGGTTAAGATTGTACAAACTTGACCACAGAAAGGCTATCAATCTGACTAGGCTAATAACAACAACAACAACACCACGAGGATTATTCAGAGAGTAAGGTTAAAAGATTTTTTAAAAATACAAAGAATGGATATATTTTAATAAAATTTCTGTGGATTGTAGCATAGGTATTACATTAGAGAAAATCAAAGTGCTCTTCCAGCAAATGGCACCAGCCAATCCCTCTGCAATGCCAGAAATGGTGTAACATTAGAAAATGTTGTCCATTTCCGCTCCCTTGGCAGCCACCTCTCCACAAAAGTCAACATTGACAATTAAATACAACACTGCCTGAGCTCTGCGAGTGCAGCATTTTTCTGAAGGAAGCAGAGAGTGTTTGAGGACCCGGATATCCATAGGGAGACCAGGGGGCTTGTTTATAAAGCTATTGTCCTCCCAACCCTGTTCTACGCCTGCGAAATGTGGACTGTCTACAGATATCACAACTCTGCCCTGAGTCCCCTGCAGGGTGAGAAGGGCAGAATATAAATACTGTAAATAAATAATAATAAATAAATAAATGTGCCAAAAGGAAGGTGCATCAAGCCAACCCTGACCAGGACCACCTTCCGTCTGGAAACCGATGTCCTCACTGCGGGAGAACATGCGGGTCAAAAATAGGGCTCCACAGCCACCTACAGACCTAGGACCTCTTCGAGGAGAAGATGGGGCAATGCTGACAGGGGATAGGGAAAAGGCAGAACTACTTAATGCCTTCTTTGCCTCGGTCTTCTCACAAAAAGAGAGTCTTCAACCTCAGCAAGATGGAGTGGATGAGGGATTGGAGGACATCCAACCCCAAATTGGGAAAGAAGTCGTCCAGGAATACCTGGCCGCTCTTAATGAGGTCAAGTCCCCAGGGCCAGATCAACTACACCCCAGAGTATTGAAGGAACTAGCGGAAGTCATTTCGGAACCATTGGCAACCATCTTTGAGAGTTCTTGGAGAACGGGAGAAGTTCCAGCAGATTGGAGGAGGGCCAAGGTGGTCCCAATCTTCAAAAAGGGAAAAAAGGATGACCCAAACAACTACCGTCCGGTCAGCCTCACGTCGATACCAGGCAAGATTCTGGAAAAGATTGTTAAGGAAGCGGTCTGCAAACACTTAGAAACAAATGCAGTCATCGCTAATAGTCAACATGGATTTATCAAAAACAAGTCATGCCAGACTAATCTGATCTCTTTTTCGATAGAGTTACAAGCTGGGTAGATGCGGGGAATGCCGTGGATGTAGCGTACCTGGATTTCAGTAAGGCCTTCGACAAGGTCCCCCATGACCTTCTGGCAAGGAAACTAGTCCAATGTGGGCTAGGCAAAACTACGGTGAGGTGGATCTGTAATTGGTTAAGTGGACGAACACAGGGAGTGCTCACTAATGCTTCCTCTTCATCTTGGAAAGAAGTGACAAGTGGAGTGCCGCAGGGTTCCGTCCTGGGCCTGGTCCTGTTCAACATCTTTATTAATGACTTAGATGAAGGGCTAGAAGGCATGATCATCAAGTTTGCAGACGACACCAAATTGGGAGGGATAGCCAATACTCCAGAGGACAGGAGCAGAATTCAAAACGATCTTGACAGATTAGAGAGATGGGCCAAAACTAACAAAATGAAGTTCAACAGTGACAAATGCAAGATACTCCACTTTGGCAGAAAAAATGAAATGCAAAGATACAGAATGGGGGACGCCTGGCTCGAGAGCAGTACGTGTGAAAAAGATCTTGGAGTACTCGTGGACAACAAGTTAAACATGAGCCAACAATGTGATGTGGCGGCAAAAAAAGCCAATGGGATTTTGGCCTGCATCAATAGGAGCATAGTGTCTAGATCTAGGAAGTAATGCTACCCCTCTATTCTGCCTTGGTTAGACCACACCTGGAATATTGTGTCCAATTCTGGGCACCACAATTGAAGAGAGATATTGACAAGCTGGAATGTATCCAGAGGAGGGCGACTAAAATGATCAAGGGTCTGGAGAACAAGCCCTATGAGGAGTGGCTTAAGGAGCTGGGCATGTTTAGCCTGAAGAAGAGAAGGCTGAGAGGAGATATGATAGCCATGTATAAATATGTGAGAGGAAGCCACAGGGAGGAGGGAGCAAGCTTGTTTTCTGCTTCCTTGGAGACTAGGACGCGGAACAATGGCTTCAAACTACAAGAGAGGAGATTCCATCTGAACAATAGGAAGAACTTCCTGACTGTGAGAGCCGTTCAGCAGTGGAACTCTCTGCCCCGGAGTGTGGTGGAGGCTCCTTCTTTGGAAGCTTTTAAGCAGAGGCTGGATGGCCATCTGTCAGGGGTGATTTGAATGCAATATTCCTGCTTCTTGGCAGGGGGTTGGACTGATGGCCCATGAGGTCTCTTCCAACTCTTTGATTCTATGATTCTATACCGCCAAGACACTGAATTTGGAGGACCATCATCCTCGGGCTACAAGGGATCGCCTAAGTAAGTAAGTGGTATTACATTATTTTTCCACATAATCACCATTCAGTTCAATACATTTTGTCATCTGTGGGACGATTTTTTGATGCCTGTGTCATAGAAGTTTCCCTCTGCCTTTCTTAGCCAGTTTGTCACTTCGATTTTCACTTCCTCATCATCAGAAAGTGTTTTCCCCCCAGGTGTCCTTCAATTTAGTAGACAGATGAGAGTCACTGGGTGCGAGATCGGGGCTGTGACGGGGGGGGGGGGGACTTCAAACATCCCCATCAAAGGAAGTCAACCACTCTTGTGTTACATGAGCGGTGTGCGGACATGAAGGAGACAGACTCCCGCCGTCAGCATGCCACGACAGTTGTTTTGAATGGCTCTGCGAAGTTTCTTCATAGTCTCACAATATATTCCGTAGCTGTTTTGTCACATGCAGTCTTGACATTACGTCCTCTCCATAAACTGAAACGTTTGTGCAGTGAATCGCAGTAGCGTTCATGCCAAGCATTTAGGTAGCATACTACAGCGTGAACTTCGCACTTGGGAGGGAAACTGAATGAGGACGCTCATCTCTAACCTTCACCACAACACCAGTCGATCGATGAGCTACTGGCGACTAGCACTGCTCGTTCGCTTCCACTGGTTTCCCGCTACGCCGCAGTGAAACCAACTTCCCCAGAGAAAATTCCCGTAGCAAGAGCTACGTGCCTTGGAACCTTACTTTTCGGATAATCCCCATAATCTATATAAATAAAAATGCAATGTTCGTTTGTGCTATTCACAGAACTCAGAAACCACTGGGGCAATTGACACCAAATTTGGACACAATACACCTAACAACCCAATGTATGTTCTCCACTCAAAAAAACAACGAAAACCAAAAGCAGAAAGGACTTCTAAACTGCATGTCCACAAAGGAGAAACTGCATGTCTACAGAGACCCATGGCCATGGCCATGCCCCCTCCTCCTCTCGGGGAAACAGCGGCTGTTAAAGCCAGGCACACGTGCACGACCACACACGCAAACACACAAGCGACTGGAGTGGAGGAGGTGGAGGCAGTCTCCTCCTACTTTCCCTGTTGGAAGAGGAAAGGGCGGATGAGTGCCAGCAGCAGCAACGGAGCAAGGAAGAAGGGGAGGGGGAGGAGGCGAGGAAGGTCCACAGTGCTTGAATGAAGGACCTTCCTTCTCTCCCTCCCTTCCCTTCTTTCCTCCCTTTCCTTCCTTTTCTTCTTTCCTTCTCCTTCCTTTCCTTCTTTCCCTCCTTCCCTTCCTTCCTCTCCCTCCTTCCTTCTTCCTTTCCTTCTTTTCCTTCCTGGCCATCTGTCGGGGGTGATTTGAATGCAATATTCCTGCTTCTTGGCAGGGGGTTGGACTGGATGGCCCATGAGGTCTCTTCCAACTCTTTGATTCTATGATACCTCCCTTTTCTTCTTCTTTCCCTTTCTTCATTTCCTTCCCCTTCATTTCCTTCCCTCCCTCCTTTCTTTCCCTCCTTCCTTCCTTCTCCTCCCTCCCTGTCCTTCCTTCTTTCTTTTCCTTCCTTCCCTTCTTTCCCTCCCTCCCTTTTTCCTTCCTTCCTGTCCCTCCTTCCTTCCTCCTTTCCTTCTTTTCCTCCCTCCCTCTTTCCTTCTTCTTTCCCTTTCTTCATTTCCTTCCCCTTCATTTCCTTCCCTCCCTCCTTTCTTCACCCCTCCTTCCTTTCCCTCCTTCCCTCTCCTCCCTCCCTCCCTGTCCCTTCTTCTTTCTTTTCCTTCCTTCCCTTCTTTCCCTCCCTCGCTTCCTTTTTCCTTCCTTTCTGTCCCTCCTTCCTTCCTTCTTCCTTTCCTTCTTTCTATGTAAGATATAAATACAATATTAAATGGAAGGGACAGTCAAGAAGTAACAAGAGAAGGAGGGAAAGAGGGAAGGAAGGAAGGAGAGAAGGAGGGAGGGAAAGAAGGAAAGAAAGAAAGATAGAGAAGCAAGGAAGGAGAGAAGGAAATAAAAAGTGAAAGGAAAAAGAGAGGGAAGGAAGGAGAGAAGGAACGAAAGATAGGGAAGGAAGAAGGAAGGAAGGAAGGATGTAACCAAAGAGCAAAGAAAGGGAGGAAAGAAACAGGTAGAGATGGAAGAAAGATGAGAGATAGGGAAAGAAAAAGAGGAAAGGAAGGAAAGAGGGAAGGGAGGAGAGAAAGAGGGAGGGAAGGTTGGCCACAGCAACGTGTGGCGGGTACAGCTAGTACTAATATAATAGTATTATTACTTCTTCTCTCCTTACTTCCTGGATAACCCTCATAATAATAATAATAATAATAATAATAATAATAATAATAATAATAATAATGATGATGATGATGTTATTTCTAACCTGCAAAGGGACTCAGGGCAGCTTCCATTTACAAAACTTAAGCAAGCTTTCACAATGTGGCAATTGACACGAGGTGGGCTCACCTGAGAGGTGCGGGTGTATTCCTCGTAGAGTAAGTCATACTCGCGGCTCTTGTCCTGGTACTGCTGGTGGTAGGCCTTCAGTTGCTCCCCAACTGCCTCCACGCTGTCCTCCTTCACCACTTGGTCCTATCAGGAGGGGAGAAGTTTTGGAAAGGCAGGGAGAGGCAGGTAATATATACATTAATAGTAGTAGTTGGTAAAGGTTTTCCCTGACATTGTCTAGTCGTGTCCGACTCTGGGTGGTGGTGGTGCTCATCTCTATTTCTAAGCCGAAGAGCCAACATTGTTTGTAGACGCCTCCAAGGTCACGTGGCTGGCATACTGCATGAAGTGCCGTTACCTATTGATCTACTCACATTCGCTTGTTTTCGAACTGCTAGGTTGGCAGAAGCTGAGCCTCATAGCGGGAGCTCACCCCAGTCCCCAGATTTAAACTGCCAACCTTTCAGTCATCACGTTCAACAGCTTAGCAGTTTAACCCACTACTTTCCCTGGCTCCAGTTTTGCCCCACTTTTCCTCCCCCCTTGGTCTCTCTCCCTCTATCTCTTCATGAAGCCAATCAACTCAAAGATCCTCAAAGTGGAGAAAAAGACAGCAATCTCTCAAAGCGGACAAAAGCACGAGGCCTGGAGGTTGCTCCCTTGAATCCCTAAAGCCCCGGACTCTCACTCTAGCACTTCGTCTTAACTCAAAATGTGGCTCGTATGTCAGTGAAACCCAGGCCAAGCAATGGCTCTTAACTCAAAACGCTCTTAAGTCAGTACACTCTTAAGTCAAGGTTCCACTGAACAGACTTTTTTTGTGCCAGCCCAACAATCCTTTCTCCCTCTTCCCTACACTGGCATCGGGAGGAGGACGTCAAAAACAGTTAAGAGATATGCAATGCTAATAAAAGATTCCCCCTGGCTTGTTCCCGCTCTGCTCAACGGGGTCACCTCACCTGCTGGTACTTGGAGATGGGGTACAGGAGGCGGGTGTCCAGTTTGGCGTTGTACTGGGCCAGTGACTCATGCCGGTAGTGGTTGATCAGCTCCACCACCGAGCCAAAGGTCAGGGGCTCTGAGAAGCCGTACTTGCCCTCCCGGTGGAAGATCTTGATCAGCTTGTTGTTGCCACCTTTCCTGCAGGGACAACGGAGGAAAGGTGTCACTCTCAATGGCAAATGCCTTACCTTCACTCCACCTTCCCTTTATTGACATCCCTACTTTCTCACTGATTGGAACTCAAGGCAAAATGCTATGATAACACTGTTCTACAAATTTTCGGTTTTTCTCAGTTAAGGAAACGAAATGTGCCGTTTCTTAATAAATTTAACATGCTGAATTCAAATATAATAATTCAATGTGTTAATTGGCTCTGGTTTTTATGCAACAGCTATTTCAATTTTCTCCACAATAGGTAATTCGTTAATATTATGATAATGCGCCTAACCTTACTGCATGTATATAAACCGTGAATATTTACTAAATTTTAGTCAAATTATATTGCCAATAGTTTATACATGAGAAATATTTATTTAATTAGTCTATTGTTTATGTTTGTGCAGCAAGAAACTATATTAGTAGGCCTAATGCAGTTGAAAAGTCTGAAAGTTTAAATGTCGCTTTAATCGTGACTTTAGTTTATATCCTGTTTGCTTCTCTTGACTTTTCTTTTGTATTCAAGGAAAGGATTGTCTCTTACAATGCTCCAGCAGTAGTCTGACAGCATTGACGGAGTCCATTTGCCTTGATATCTTTTTTCCATAGTGCTTTATTTACACACGTGCGAGGCATAACTACAGTAAAAAGAACAATGTAAAACAATGTTTAACGATACTGTCTCAGTCTTCAACTGACTGACCCTCACCGCTCAAAAGTCTGGCCTTATATACGGCTTTCTGGCTTTTGCACACGACACTAATACTGCGTCATCAAACTTTCTAGAGTATTCTAGAATCTTCCATAGTGTAAGTTGCAACATGCATTTTTTCAACCATACGTGATCACGTGATTGCTTATATCATAAAAATTAGAGCCATTTTCAGGCCCGAAACATTTTCTCCGTTGAACAGTGTAACTTATATAGAATCAAGAATAAAGTGTCATGAACTCATTTCTTTGTTTTGTGTGAAGACAGGAAATTGAGCCATGCGTTAGATCTGGCTGGTGTATATTTGAAACAAGGGTGAGGGTTGCCATGGAAACAGGAGTAATAAAGAGGAGGGGCCAGCGTGAAGGACAGGAGGCATGAGGGAAATAAACTGGCAGTTGGAATTTTTTTGCGTTTCCTAATGCATACTTTTGAATTAAAGCCTTCCAACTTTGTTTGTGAGGTAATTATTTCGCCAGAAAGCTACAGATCCGGACATTAAAGATCAGAATTCACAAGAAAACCATTCCTCTTCAGTATACAAAAGGTATTGAAGGCCTCACCTAAGTGTCAAGGTGTATTCGCCTTGGATCTTGCTGGAGGCGTCTCGCACCAGGAACGTGCCGTCCGGTGTGTCCCGAAGTTTCTCATTCACTTCCTCCCTGCAGTTGAGACCAAAGGGGGTCACTTGCGGGACACTGGGGTCTGGACGAATAAAGGCCTGATCCCTCGGGGTGCAGATCCCTGCTTCCAAAACCTGCCATTTGCAACCCTCTTGTAGCCAATAGCCCTCCTCCTCCTCTTACCTGGAAATATCGCCCCAGTACCACTCGGCGTCCTGGAGGGGGGTCCCATTGCTGCCATTGGGGAGGGGTCCCGCCACAGGTTTTGGCTTGGGGGGCTTGGGAGGTAGAGCTGAAAAAGAGAGGGGCAGCTACAGACAATGACCTCTTTTCCTTTTCTTTTGGGAATCACCTGTTTTCTCTCCCTCGTCACAGCCCTCCATACCACCCCAGCCTTACGGGGGTCTTCCAGGACCCGCGTGCTCCTGATCCTACCTGGAGGGGGCAGGTCGGGCTCTGAGTCTCTGTTCTGCAGAAGGGTTTGTAGGAAGACTGCAGGGAAGTCGGCAGCTGCCTCCGCACTGTGTGGAAAAGGGAGTCCAATAACGACCGTATTTGTACCATACCCCTATACCCACCTCCAAGCGATTTAGTAAAAGGCCCAGTTCTGTCCCCCGAGCTAACTTCCAGGTGCCCCCAATTCTAAGAGAATTGGAAATTTACAATTAAAGGTGTAAACAATAAACAAAAAAATGTAATTGTCAAAAAGCTCAGTCCTCTTAACTCCTCCTGGGCTGAATGACAAACAAATACTTTGACGAAACAGAGCTCAGAACTTAACTGGGAATTCTCTTGGTTACTTTCAAATAAATAGTCTTTTCTGGCCTCTTTTCCGTGTCCTTTATCTGGCTTTGTCTCTTAAACTTTGAGTTTCCTCAACCTTAGGCTGAGTTTCCTAAAACATAGACTGGAGTTTCCTAAATGTGGAAGATGTTGCAGACTCTAGACTCCCTAGATCAGTGGTTCCCAACCTGTGGTCCGTGGACCACCAGTGGTCCACAAGAAATAAAATATGATCACTGGCCTAACAGTTACTACACCATTGCAGCGAAAGTGGTCCCTGGTCAAAGTGGTTCCTGGTATTAATGCTGGAGGGTGGTCCCTGGTCAAAGTGGTTCCTGGTCAAGGTGGTTCCTGGTCAAGTGGTCCCTGGTCAAAGTGGTCCCTGGTACTAATGTTGGAGAGTGATTCCTGGTCCAAGTGGTCCCTGGTCATAGTGGTCTCTGGTACTAATGTTGGATAGTGGTCCCTGGTCAAAGTGGTTTCTGGTCAAGGTGTACTAATGGTCGTGGTTAAGTGGTCTCTCGTCAAGGGTGGTCCCTGGTACTGACGTTGCAGAGTGGTTACTTGTCAAAGCAGTCCCTGGTACTAATGCTGGAGAGTGGTATCTGGTCAAAGTGGTTCCTGGTCAAGTGGTCCCTGGTACTAATGTTGGAGAGTGGTTCCTGGTCAAAGTGGTCACTGGTCAAAGTGGTCCCTGGTACTAATGTTGGAGAGTGGTTCCTGGTCTAAGTGGTCCCTGGTACTAATGTTGGAGAGTGGTTCCTGGTCCCTGGTACTAATGTTGAAGAGTGGTCTGTGATTAAGTGGTCTCTCGTCAAGGGTGGTCCCTGGTACTAACATTGCAGAGTGGTTATTGGTCAAAGAGGTCCCTGGTCAGGTGGTCCCTGCTCAAAGTGGTCCCTGGTACTAATGTTGGAGAGTGGTCGCTGGACAAAGTGGTCCCTGGTACTAATGTTGGAGAGTGGTTCCTGGTCAAAGTGTTCCCTGGTCAAGTGGTCTATGGTCAAAGTGTTCCCTGGTTCTAATGTTTGAAAGTGGTCCCTGGTCAAAGTGGTCCCTGGACCCTGGTACTAATGTTGGAGAGCGGTCCCTGGTCAAGTGGTTTCTGGTCAAAGTGGTCCCTGGTACTAATGCTGAAGAGTGGTTCCTGGTCAAATCGGTCCCTGGTCAAAGTGGCCCCTGGTCCAGTGGATCCTGGTCAAATGGTCCCTTGTCAGAAAAAAATTGGGAACTACTGCCTTAGACTAACTGCAAAAGAGTTGTTGGGGAGGACAGCAATCTCCACCTCTGGGGGGTTTCTTAAAAGGACAGAGTCTAATTAAGGGTCCCTTCCACAGAAACCTAGACAAAAAGGAACTGAATCAATTTTAACCAAGGGGTTCATTTAAGGCTTAAGAAAAGAAAACAGTAATGCCTCTGTGGGGGGCATGACAAGACCTCACATTCTCAATGGGAATTTGGGGAAAACTGGATGTCTCATAGACACCCAACCTGGGTCTTTTTTTCAGTAGCATGTTCCCCCCTCCCCAAATAAACAGACAGACCCCTGACCCACCTGGCAGAGGGAGCACCCCGTAACAGTAAGGGCCCAAATATCTCCCCCAAAGTCAGGGGACAGAGCCCGTTGCTCTGGGCATGGGCGGCCACCTTGGCCAAGTGCTGCAGGAGGAACCGGAGGGTGAGGAGGTGCGGATGGGGCAGGGCCTCCAGGACCGAGAGAAGCTGCTGGCGGCACAGGTCCGGCGACGGGGCCGCATCTGCAGGGGAGCAAGGAGGGGGTCAAAATCACCAAGAGGGAAGGAAGAAGCGCCCCCCACCCCAGCCTAGGACACATCGGGTGAGCTGGTAAAGGGGGGAGATGTTGAAAATGCCTGTGTCAAAGACCTGTACACAGAATCTCTGTTAAAGCAGCCACTTGCTAACTCGTAGTCAAAGAGAGTCCGAAGTCATAAAAAGCATGCAGTCCAACAAGGGCAAAGCACACAAATAGTCTAGAGTTTCTTTCCAAGGGTCAAAAGCAAGAATTCTTATCAACTCAAGCCGTAATCTGCGCATGGCTTGATAGGTGCACAGTAGCAGACAGGAAGGCGCTCCACTGCTCCACAGCACAGAGTCACCACTGCTCCACAGCAAATCATTGGCTGTCCTCTTTCTCCCCTCTTTGGAAGAACTTTACAATTCCCACAACCTTAAGAAAGCTCAGAGCATTCTTTCGTTTTTTAGTTTGATCCAATCCATGGCCCATGGATTGGCACATAGGCCAATCTTCCCCTCTTTTTATTGTCTATCATATTTTTAAAACTAATTATTGGTTTTTTTCCCTTGCCATATATGTTTGTTAAAGTCTTTATTCCACTCTTTTATGTTTTTTTGGTTTCTTAATATGGGTACGTTTTGAAATAAGGTTATCTTGGGTAATATGTTCATCTTTATACTCGCAATCCTGCCCAAGAAGGATAATTTTAATTTTTTCCATTTTTCCAAGTCTGCTTTGATCTCCTTCCATTTTTCCCCGTAGTTATTTTGAAGTAATTGTGCATTCTTTGCTGTGATGATAATGCCCAGATATTTTAGCTTAGGAACTATCTGTATGTTCCATTCTTCTTTTAGCAACTTTAGTTTTTTCTTTGGGATATTTTTTGTAATTGCTTTTGTTTTTTCCATGTTTATTTTTAGTCCCGACACCTCACCAAATTCATTTATCTTTCTCATCCATTTTTTTAGTTTTTTGTTTGGCTCTTCAATAACACAAATTATATCATCTGCAAAGGCCCTACATTTATATGTTTGGCCTTTTATCGATGTGCCCTTTAATTCTTTATCTTCTCTAATTTTGTTCATTAATATTTCTAGAGCCAGTATAAATATCAGCGGTGATAAAGGGCACCCTTGTCTTGTGCCTTTTCTTATTTCTATATTTTTGCTTTCCTGTCCATTCACTAATATTTTAACTTGTTGGTTTTTGTAAATTGCCGCAATTATGTTTTGGAAGTAATAGCCTATATCCATTTCTTTTATGAGTATTTTTTTTAAATCCCAATTAACATTGTCGAACGCTTTTTCAGCGTCTAAGGCCAAAAACATTACTTCTTTTTGGATGTTCCTTTCGTAATATTCTGTTTGATCAATAACTGTTCTCACATTTTCTCTTTGATGCCTGTTTGGGAGGAATCCCGTCTGTTCCACTTTGATCCAATTTTCTAAGAATGCTTTGAATCTCTCTGCTATTATACTGCTAAATAATAATTGCTTTCCTTTTAAAAAATTTCTTGTTTTTATTCATGTATATTATGAAAATATTTAATAAAGAGCATTCTTGGGGATCCATGTTGTAAAGATCCCTTACCTTTCCAGCCTGGATGGCAGGGCCTAGGAACAGCAGGCCAGTTGGTTGCAGCTTTAGTAGGCCTGGCAGAGGGCAGCAGTAGCCATTTTAGTTCAGGGAAAACACCATTTTAGAGAGGGGGAGTGTCCTAGGCCTGAGTTAGCATTAGAACAGCCAGGATTGGTTCAGAAAAGGGGGCGGAGTTTAGCAAGGTTTGGAGGGAAAGAAAGAGGCTTTTTCAGTCAGTCTGTTGTTGTTAGGGCTTAGAATAGGAAGATAGTTTAGGAGTTCGTGTTTAAGATTAGTTAAGAGAAGGCAGTTTGCCTTAGGTTTGCCAGCAAAAGAAGCTGTAGCAAACTGGGACAGCTATCAGGGAAAGATAGCTGGTTTGTAGTTAGCTAGGCCACAGTTCAGGGTAGCTAAGCTACAGTTGTATCTTGACAGAGATTCAGTTCCTGTCAAGTATGCTTGGTTTTAAAGAAAAGAAAATCTCTGTTTGTTGTAACAAAGAAAGAGCCATTTACATGTAACCATTACGCTTGCAAGACAAACCAACATTTCTCTGTAACAGCAAGATTCTTAACAGCACTTACTCTCTCTTATATGTTTTCAATAAACTTTCCTTGATATTTTAAAACTTAAGAAGCCTGAGTCCAGTGTGCCTTTGTGGCTATAGTCCCTTTTTCAAACAACCTCAACTGTTTTCCTTTGAAGCAAGAAGCAAATACGAAGACACAGTGCTTGGTGATCTTAAAACCCCTTTTATTATTTTGAACAGCTAGAGTGTTCCTGTACTTTATAGGTTATGGTGGCAGCGGAAGTTAATTAGAGAGACATCCCTTCATAACATTTATATTGGTGCCAGAGTGGTGTAGATTCTTTTTATTGGAGGGACAGTTGGTGGGATTTTGTTTGCCCCTGTCCAGAGATATTGTTGGTGCCATATACTGTCGCCTTTATACATGTCACTCAGTTTATTCTTTTTTAATTAATCCCATCTGGGAGACAGTACAGGGTGACAAAGGCAAAGGCAAACAGACTGGAGGATAGCTTTTATCCTAGAGCTATGACTATGCTGAACTGTAGTTTCGCACTGATGTGGCATTGGGGGCTGTACAATGGTGGTGATGAGGGGATGTGGAAGGATGGGTGTGTTGTTTTGTTGTATGTGAGGGGAAAAGCACGTAATTTCGTTGTGCAATAACACAAAGATAAATAAAGCTTTTCGATTCTGTTCTATTCTATCCTAACTAGTCCAGTCACCAAAGTCAAGGTTCAATTCAAGAGTTCACTGACAGAAATTCAGGCTGTAACATTTTCACAACATTGCTCCAGCAACTACCACCTCCAGCTCTTATGCCACTTTCCCAAGCACTCTCTCCTGTTGGCCCTCCTCTGACCCAACCAATTAGCTCTCTTCCATTGGATGGCATCAGTCCGTAATTGCAGCCTTAATAGCTGGAATGCTTAACTCCTGGTCTACTTCCTGGAGCTCCCAATCCTGTCCTAACTCTGTCCCGGCTTCCCTGAGGCTCCTGGTCCTGCTTTGCAGCAGTGTCAGGCTGCTCAGGCTCTCTGCTCAACACTGACTCAGATGCTGAGTGAAGCAGCCCTTAATCTTCATCCTCATCACAAGTCTGACAGCCCACGGATCCCGATATGGCACTCTCCCAACCCCATAAGAAGCCTCTTTCCTCACCTTGAAGCACCCGCAGGATCTCCACCTGGGTACAGGCCGGCACCACGGGGGTCGGGAGGTCCTGAAGGAAGCCCTTGAGAGCATCACCAAGGGAAAGAGGATCTGAGGCCTCCAGGTCACCAGCCGCCACTGCCGCCCAGTCTGCGGGGAGAGAAACAAGAGAGCAGGTTTATTGCCATCTTTCCTCATCCAAACATAGTCCCCTTTCGGACACCTCCAGATGAGGGAGTACATCCAAACAACGCAGGGTAAGCCTCTCAAAGCAATAGTTCGGTGCAACTTTATATACTCCATCGGCCTTTGCATGGAAACCCAAGGGTGGGTAATTAGCCATAATGAACTCAAGTGTACAATTACCCATCACTGGGGTTGAAGAGGGCTCCTTTGTGCCCTATGAAGCATTTCTGCTGCATGCAAAATGCAGAGTGGGGGCTTTGTTGTAGCTGCTAGACCTCATGGGGGTGTCGAGGGGTCACATGGGGGAGTCAAAGAGTCACGTGGAGTGTCAAGGAACCACATGGGAGAGTCAAGGGGTCACGTGGGGTGTCAAGGGATCTCATGGGGGTGTCAAGGGGTCTCATGGGGGTGTCAAGAGATCTCACAGGGGTGTCAAAGGGTCACATGGCGTGTCAAGAGGTCTCGTAGGGGTGTGTCAAAGGATCACATGGGGTGTAAAGGGGTCTCATGGGGATGTTAAGGGTCTCATAAGGGTGTCAAGGGGTCACATTGGGGTTTCAAGGGTTTGGTTCCTACCAGTTCGAAGCGCCTGCCTGAGTTCAGAGCCAGATGTCCTGTAGAGCATCTTGTTCTCCAGCCCTGCGGAAGTCAAAGGAAGGCACCAGGAAAGGAGAAAAAGAGCAAGAGGGCATGTTAGTGGGTTGGGGGTACACATAGCCATACATATAAACACATTAGGTTTGGTCACAGATCCATTTTGAAAAACCATTTCTAAATATGCCATAAAATGAGGAGGTAATTTATATTTAAATGCTCTTTCAGGTGCTGTGGCTCCCGTTGAAATCAGTGATTCAGCTTCACTGAGGACAAACAATGCCAGAAAGGGTGGTATCTTCACTCTAGTGCTTTTAATCCAGGTCTTAACGAAGGATATAAGGACAAACGATGCCAGAAAGGGTGGTATCTTCACTCTGGTGCTTTTAATCCAGAGTCACCGGTGGCACAGTGGATTAAACCCTTGTGCCAGCAGGACTGAAGACCGACAGGTCGGAGGTTCGAATCCGGGAAGAGCACGGATGAGCTCCCTCTGTCAACTCCGGCATCCCATGCGGGGACATGAGAGAAGCCTCCCACAAGGATAGTAAAACATCAAATCATCTGGGCGTCCCCTGGGCAATGTCCTTGCAGATGGCCAATTCTCTCACACCAGAAGTGACTTGCAGTTTCTCCCAAGTCGCTCCTGACACGAAAAAAAAATCCAGTTCTTAATGAAGGATATAGGGACAAACGATGCCAGAAAGGGTGGTATCATCACTATGGTGCTTTTAATCCAGTTCTTAATGAAGGATGTAAGGACAAACTATGCCAGAAAGGGTGGTTTCTTAAGACTGATGCCCAAAAATGACAGGGAGGGGATGCTTGAGGGGCTTCAGCCCTCCCCCCCGAAATTCTCATGGTAGTTCGCGAAAAGGCCTTACTAGTGCATTATTTATACTGTTATGTTTATTCATATCATGATCTGATCACCATACTCAATATATCCCATATGCATGGGGGTATTGGGGTAATGATACAAAAGGTTTGCTAGGGTAGACCCTCTTTCACTCAGACTCAACCCCCCCCCGAATCTCAGCCCCCCCCCCAAAAAAACCCCTGAAAAATATTCACCCTCCCCTCCCCCCGAAACGAAATCCTGGCTACGGGCCTGGCTGGATCTTCCGACTTCCAGGATCAAAAACGGATTTCTGTCCTCTTGTATTCGGGAAGCTCCCAAAAAATGGATCCGCCCCCCAAAATCAGGACACCGAAACAGATCACTGTTTACCCAAATTGCTCAACCCTAATACATATACACATATATACTAGATGTTGGACTAAATGTCCTTTGAGTTCCCTTCTAAGTGCTTGGGACCAGATCTGGGCAAAATTCAGTTTGGGGTGGGGGAGGGGATTGTGATGCCCTGAATCATCGCCCCTTCCTCTTGGAACAAGCATACTCCCAAATGTGAAGGGGAGACTCTCCTTCTGCCCACAGCTCACCTTTCTTCTCAATGCCGTCCACCATCCGGCACAGCAGAGGCGGAGCCACTTCAGGCGGCCCAAACTGATCCGACAGCTCCGGAAGCATCATTCCTATGGAGGGATTCGAAAACAGGGGAATTAAATTAAAGGGGGTCGAGCAAAGAGGGAAGGGACCCCAACCCAGTCCTATTCCTGGGGAGGTTACTCAGCTTTTTAATTTAATTTTCCTGGGCATTGTGCCCATTCTTAAATTATTCGCTTTTGTTTTCCTTCTTTCTACGCAGGAGACACCAAAGGGCCTCCCTCCAATGACACTGCAAGTTATAGTGAATGCCATGAACATGTCTAAGAGCCCTGCCAATGTCCTCCACAAACACAATTCTGCCCACCACTCAAGTGAAGGCTTTCATACAGGGACCATTGTACCCACCAAGAAGGCCCTCTCTCTCATCCCCACCAACTGTGCTTGTGACGGTGGTGGGAGCGAAAGGAGGGCCTCCCCGGAAGATCTTAAAGTTTGTGCCGGCTCATAGAGGGGGATGCAATTGCAAAGATAGGCGAGGCCCGAACCGTTTAGGCTATATAGGTCATAACCTGCACCTTGAATTTGGCTCGGCAACTTATCGGCAGCTAGTGAAGCTGTTTTAAAAAAGGCGTTGTATGCTCCCTATAGTTTGCTCCAGTAAGGAGCCTGGCTGCCGCCCGCTGTACCAGTTGGAGCTTCCGGGCCATCTTCAAGGGCAGCCCCACGTAGAGCGCATTGCAATAGTCCAATCTGGATGTAACCAAGGCGTGGACCACACTGGCCAAGTCAGACTTCACGAGATGTGGTCGCAGCTGGTGCACGAGTTTAAGTTGTGCAAAGACCCTCCCGGCCACCGCCGACACCTGAGCATCAAGTGACAGCGTTGAGTCCAGGAGGACCCCAAAGCTACGGACCTGCGCTCTCAGGGGGAGTGAAACCCCGTCGAGCACAGGTTCCCACCCGGTACCGAGACAGCTTTGGTCGCCTTGGTGGATGACCTCCGTAGGGAGCTTGACAGGGGGAGTGTGACCCTGTTGGTTCTCTTGGATATTTCAGTGGCTTTCGATATTTCAGCCGGTATTGCACCAGCTGACATCCGCCGGGAAGTAGCAGCCAATAGTGAAAGGACCAAGGCAGAGACATCTCCAGCTCATCCCCTGTTTGGGTATCAGCCAGCACGTCAATGACTTAAATCAAGACATAGTTTTCTTAGATCTACAGAGACACTCGCTGGAACACCCCAGCAAGCGAGAGTCCAAAAGTGGCAGGCCCAAACCCAGCACCTCAATCCATGGGTGATACCAGATGAGAGACTCCCCCCTGGGCACACAGAAGACTGGGCGACTTGGAAGGCTGCGCTCTGGCACCACGAGATGCAGAGCCAACCTTTAGAAATGGGGCTACAAAGTGGAATCCTCGACATGCGAGTGTGGAGAAGAGCAAACCACTGACACCTGCTGCAATGCAACCTGAGCCCTGCCACATGCACAATGGAGGACCTTCTTGCGGCAACACCAGAGGTACTCCAAGTGGCCAGATACTGGTCAAAGGACATTTAATCAACTACCAAATTTGCAAAATCTGTGTGTTTTTTTCTCCTTTTCTTTTTAATCTGTGTGTTTGTTTTGCTCTGTTAGAATTGTAATACAATGGTATGGTTGCTGATGACACGATAAATAAATAGCGGCTTTCGATACCATCAATCATGGTATCCTTCTGGGACGACTCTCTGGGATGGGTCTTGGAGGCATGGTTTTGTCATGGCTCCGATCCTTCCTGGAGGGCCGCTCCCAGATGGTGAAGCTGGGAGATGCCTGCTCGGACCCCTGGCCTTTGAACTGTGGGGTCCCGCAAGGTTCCATTCTGTCTCCCATGCTTTTTAACATCTACATGAAACTGCTGGGAGAGGTCATCCGGAGTTTTGGAGTTGGGTGCCATCTCTACGCAGATGACACGCAACTCTACTACCACCTAATTCCAAGGAAGCCCCTAGAGTGCTGGATGAGTGCCTGGCTGCTGTGACTGTCTGGATGAGGAGGAACAAGCTGAGGATCAATCCCGACAAGACAGAGGTCCTCTTGGTAGATCGCAAACCAGATAGGGGTATAGGGTGGCAATCTGTGTTGGATGGGGTTACACTCCCCCTGAAGTCACAGGTTCGCAGTTTGGGTGTCCTCCTGCACTCATCACTTACGCTTGAAGCTCAGGCGTCGGCGGTGGCCGGGAGGGTCTTTGCACAACTGATACTAGTGCGCCAACTGCGACCGTACCTCGTGAAGGCGGATCTGGCCAGGGTGGTCCATGCCTTAGTCACCTCCAGATTGGACTACTGTAATGCACTCTACATGGGACTACCCTTGAAAACGGTCCAGAAATTCCAATTGGTTCAACAAGCGGCGGCCAGGTTGCTAACTGGTGCTCCTTACAGGGAGCGGTCAACCCTCCTGTTTAAGGAGCTCCATTGGCTGCCGTTCATTTACCGGACACAATTCAAGGTGCAGGTGCTTACCTACAAAGCCCTAAATGGTTTGGGACCTACCTACCTGCGCGACCACAACTCTGTGTACGAACCCAAACGATCTCTTCAATCATCTGGAGAGGCCCTGCTCACGCTCCCACCACCATTGCAAGCGCGACTGGTGGGGACGAGGGAGAGGGCCTTCTCGGTGGTGGCCCCTCAACTCTGCAACTCACTCCCCAGGGACATTAGACAAGCCCCAACTCTGGTAGTCTTTAGGAGGAGCCTGAAAACGTGGCTGTTTCAGGGTGCCTTCCCAGAATAAGGAAACTCCCAGCAATATGTCCTCAAACGCACTTTAATAATGATTTTGGATTGTCTGCACGTTCTTCCCTCTTCAAAACCTTTATTCCAATTACATGCTACCTGTTAATGCCCAGCATTTTTTTAAAAATTTAATTATTGCATTTGGCCCAGCCATTGGTTTTTAAATGTCTCGTGTTATTGTTATTGTTTTTGTTTATTTTGCTATGAGTTTTGTATTGTTATTTTTAATGCTACTCTTCTAGGACCTCTTGTTTGCAAACAGAGGAATTGATCAGCAACTGAACATACTAGAGAGGTTTGGGGAGAAATCTTGGGGAGAGGTTCTGGGATGTATAGTTTACCTGCACTCTAAGAGCACTCTGAACTCCACCAATGATGGACCTGGAACCAAGTTGGCACACAGAACGCCCATGACCAAGAAAACACACTGGAGGTCTTTGGAGGGATTTCTAGGAGTTGTAGTTCACCTACATCCAGAGCGCACTATGAACCCAAACAATGATGGATCTGGACCAAACTTGGCATGCATGCCCAATATTCCCACATTTCAATACTGGTGGGTTTTGGAGTGAATTGGCCTGGAAATTTTGGAGTTGTAGGCACTGAGATTTATAGTTCACCTTAATCAATGAACACTGTGAACTCCACCAAAGGTGGGATTGGACCAAACTTGGCACACAGAGCCCCCATGACCAGTAAAAAATACTGGAAATCTTTCGGGATAATTTACCTTGATTTGGGGGAGTTGTAGTTCTCCTACATCCAGAGCACACTATGAACCCAAACAATGATGGATCTGGACCAAACTTGGCATACATGCCCAATATTCCCGCATTTCAATACTGGTGGGTTTTGAGGTGAACTGGAAATTTTGGAGTTGTAGGCACTGAGATTTATAGTTCACCTGTAATCAATGAACACTGAACTCCACCAAAGATGGAATTGGACCAAACTTGTCACACAAAGCCCCCATGACCAACAAAAAATACTGGAAATCTTTCGGGATAATTCACCTTGATTTGGGGGAGTTGTAGTTCTCCTACATCCAGAGAGCACTGTGAACCTAAACACTGATGGATCTGGGCCAAACTAGGTACACAAAATATTCCAAAATTTTATTATTGGAGGGATTTGGGGAGAACTGGCCTTCTCTTCACCCACAACCAGAGAAATGTTGACCTCCACCAGTGATGGACCACACTTGGCACATAGAACCCCCATGACTAACTCAACCTACTGGAGGGGTTTGAGGGGACTGACTCACTGTAGTGAAACTTGTAGTTTACGCTACAACCAGAGAGAGCTTTGACTCTATATCGAACTCAAAGGGTTCACACTGAGGCAGCATTACAGGGTGGTGCAATCGTGATTGAAATGTGCATTGTTTTGTAGAATTTGGTAATTCTACATAGGTATTAATAGATGCATGCGGCCGAGAGAGTGTTCCCCTTGACCCGCCTACCTTGACCTGCCTCCGGGCCAGGAGCGGCGGGCAGCGGCCGGGACATCCGGGGCCGCTGGGCTGGGAGGGCAATCTGGACAGTCCCCAGGTATTCCACGTAGGTGCCAGGGAAGTCCCCCTTCTGCCGACTGCGCTCGTTGACCCCTGGGATCCACCCGACGCGGTGCGGGAAGGCCTCGTCCCCATCTCGGAAGCCCCCCAGCGCCTGTAGGGCCCCCTTACTGACCACCAGCACGTCTCCCGGGAGCAGGTCGATGTCCTCCTCCCGCTCCTTGCGGTACGGGTACAGGGCCCGGTACTGGAACCCTTCGGCACTGCCCATGGCTCCCGGAGAAGTATCTGATGTGATATTATGATTAAGTGCAGCCCCGCTCCCGCAACTTGAAGCCCCGGCTCAACCAGACGATGGAGCAGAGGGAAAACGTGACCAGCATAATCTTTTTCGGGGAGGCGGGACGCTTTTCAGGGGGTCCGTTCCCTGGAAAGGAAAGAGAGAAAGAAAGAGAGAGGAGAGGTCATCACTTGCAGCGACGTGCTTTTTCCCACCTCATTTCCAGAGCCTGCGTGTGTTAGGGCAAACGACTCTAAAATAAAGCAGAGCATCCAAAAACAAACAGGATACCAAAGTTGAGCATCAGCTCATTCGCAATGATAAAAAAAAAACTGCATTTCTGCATAATCAAGAACTGAGCCTGAGTTACTCTAACACCCATCTCTTCCAAGGTTTCAAGAGTGGGAAAACCTCAATCGCGACATCTCTCTTGACACACAAGCAGAGAGAGATCTCAAAGCACACAGCACATATATGATATTATTACTGCTAATAGTAGTAGTAGTAGTGTCATTGTTATTATTAGCAATAATATGAGTATGCCATCAAAGGCTTTCATGGCGGAATCACTAGGTTGCCGTGAGTTTTCCAGACTCTCAACCTCTGAGGATGCATGGCATAGATGTGGGCAAAACGAAAGGAGAGAATGCTTCTGGAACATGGTCAGACAGCCCAGAAAGCTCAAATCAACCCAATATTATTATTACTAATAATATTATTGCTACTAATAATTAAAATAATACTATTATTGTAATATTTTGTTGTTGACATTGCTACTACTAATGGTGATGATAGTATTGTTATTACTGCTAATAATAGTAATATTATTGTCACTACTATTATTATTACTAATAATGATAGTTATTTTGTTGTTACTAATATTAATACTAATAACAATAATATTATTGCTATTACTGCAAGCAGTTGTAATAATAACATTACTAATAATACCATTATTGTTCTTTTGTTGTTACGGTTATTACTACTACTATTACTACTAAAATAATGACATTTTTATATTACTGCTAATACTACTATTAGTATTACTACCATGATTACTACTAAAATGGCATGACTGCTATTGCTATTGCTGATATTACTAATGATGATGATTATTATACTATATTTTTTTTGTTCTTAATATTATTACTACTATTTCTACTAATGATCCTATTTCCAATATGAGTATTACTACTAGTAGCAATGTTATTACTAATAATTACTACTGCTAGTAGTAGTAGTAATAATAGCAGTTGTATTGTTGCTGTTGTTATTATTATCACTATTATTATTATATTTCCTCTGCACACAATGGGAGGGTGGTGTTGTGAGGCAAGCAGGGTTTCCCCTCTTGAATAATAGCAGTAGTCGTAGTCATATTGTATTATTATTATTATTATTATTATTATTATTATTGTTCCTCTGGCTCACAATGGAGGCAAGCAGGGGTCCCCCTCTTGAATTAGAAATAATGATATTATTATTACTACTAATAATAGTAGTAATATTGTATTATTATTATTATTATATTTCCTCTGGGGCACAATGGGAGGGTGGTGTTGTGGGGCAAGCAGGGATCCCCCTCTTTAGTCAGTAGTAATAACATTATTATTATTATTGCTTTTTACTAATAATAGTCCTATTGTTGCATTATTATTATTATATTATATCATTATTATATTCCCTCTGGCACACAATGGGAGGGCAAGCAGGGGTGCCCCCTCTTGAACCAGTTGTAGTAATAACGATATTATTATTATGACTAATAATAGTAGTAATCCTATTGTTGCATTATTATTATTATTATTATTATTATTATTATATCATTATTATATTTCCTCTGGTGCACAATTGGAGGGTGATGTTGTGGGGCAAGCAGGCCGCCCCCTCTTGAACCAGTAGTAGTAATAACGATATTATTATTATTACAACTAATAATAGTAGTAATCCTATTGTTGCATTATTATTATTATTATTATTATTTCATTATTATATTTCCTTTGATGCACAATGGGAGGGTGATGTTGTGGGGCAAGCAGGCCGCCCCCTCTTGAACCAGTAGTAGTAATGATATTCTTATTACTAATAATAGTATTAGTAGTAGTCATATTGTTGCATTATATTATTATTATATTATCATTATATTTCCTCTGGCACACAATAGGAGGCTGGTGATGTGCGGCAAGCAGGGGTCCCCCTTTTGAACCAGTAGTAGTAATAATATTACTACTAATAATAATAATAATAGTAGTAGTAGCAGTATTCACTACTACATACTGTATTATTATTATTATTAATTCTATTTCCTCTGGGGCACAATGGGAAGCTGGTGTTGTGGGGCAAGCAGGGTTCCCCCTCTTGAATCAGTAGTATTGTTGTTTTGTTGTTGTTGTTATATTTACTCAGGGTCACAATGGAAGGGGGTGGGCTAGATGGCCTTTAGGGCTCCCTCTTTCCCTCCTGATCCATGCAACTATTCTCTAATTTAGTCCTCTCCATATACAAGGGGGAAATGTGTGTGTGTGTATATGTATATATATAGATATAGATATATATATATATATAGAGAGAGAGAGAGAGAGAGAGATTCTCAGCAAAGGACACCTCTATTGTTTGCATTGGGAAGGAGTCAATGGGTGTTTGGAATTGGAGGGCTCTAGGGCCTTTCCTGCCCCCCATCTCTCAATTAGTAATAATATATGAATTGCAATATCTTATAAGACCCCCATTTCGACCCCCCCCCCCCCATTTCCGGTCCTGATCCGACCCACCTTTTGGCCGCCGAGCGATCCCGACCTCCTTTTGCAAAAAGCCTCCCTTTGCAAAGAGCTGCAACCCCGAACCCCGGGGAAAAAGACGGAAAAGCCCGAGACTTGGCGAAAAGAGCCGAACACTTTCTCGGGCTCTGGCGGAAGCAGGCGAAGTGCTTCGGGGGCGAGCGTGACGTCAAAACTGAGAGGAGCCGGTTTTCCACAACTAGTCGGTGAACCGCCGGGAGGGGCGGGGGGAAAAGGAGAAGAGCTGTTCCGGAAAAGGCCGAGCATAGGGCGGAAATAGCCGAGGCGGGCCTGACTAAGCTGCACGTACGCGGAAGCAGCCGAATGCTGTCGGCAGGCGGCGGAAAAGCCCGAGGATTGCTCGAGAGAGGCTCCTCCCTTCGCCGTTACGTCATCACACACTTTCTTTCCCCCATTCACTCTTTCTGAGTTGCAGGAAAAACGATATAAGTAAAGCAAGCCTCTCTCTCGATAGGGATCCCTTGATAGATTGGCTTAAGTTTTGGTTTATTTATATTATCATTATTACTACTAATTATATTATTACTACTAATAATAACAGCAATATTATTATTACTACTACTACTTATATAACTACTAGTCATAGTAGTAATATTACTACTACTAAGGATGGTAATATTATTACTATTACTAACGGTAATACTACTACTACTAATATTACTACTAATAGTACATTATTGCTACTACTATTATTACTACTAATAGTAATACTATTACTACAAATATTACTACTAATTATAGTAATATTACTGTAACAACAAAACTTTATTTATATACCACTCTACTACTAATGATAGTAATATTATTGCTATTACTATTACTAATGGTAATATTACTACTACTACTAATATTACTTATAATAATATTATTGCTACTACTATTACTAATAGTAATACTATTACTACAAATATTACTACTAATAATAGTAATATTACTACTACTACAATTTTACTATTACTATTATAATGTTACTACTACAACAAACTATTTATATACCGCTCTACTACTAATGATAGTAATATTATTATTGCTATTACTATTACTAATGGTAATATTACTACTAATATTACTACTAATAATAGTAATATTGCTACTACTATTATTACTACTAATAGTAATACTATTACTGCTAATATTACTACTAATAACAGTAATATTACTACTACAACAAAACTATATACCGTTCTACTACTAATGATAGTAATGTTATTATTGCTATTACTATTACTAATGGAAATATTATTACTAAATTACTATTAATAATAGTAATATTATTGTTACTACTATTATTGCTACTAATAGTAATACTATTACTACTAATATTACTTCTAATAATAGTAATATTACTACAACACCAGAAAAACTATTTATATACCGCTCTACTACTAATGATAGTAATATTATTATTGCTATTACTAATGGTAATATTACTACTGATATTACTACTAATAATAGTAATATTATTGCTACTACTATTATTACTAATAGTAATACTATTACTACAAATATTACTACTAATAATAGTAATATTACTACTACAACAATTTTACTATTACTATTATTACTACTAATAATAATAGTAATGCTACTACAACAACAAAACTTTATTTATATACTGCTCTATCTCCCCAAGGGAACTCAGAGCGGTTTCCAAGTAACATAATCAATACATACAAAGAAAACGGCATGAACATAAAATTAACAAGACAATATAAGCATTAAAAACCACAATAACACATATATATTTAAAATAATCCTGCCTGTTCAAGGCAATTTAAAAGGCCGGGCCGAGGCTAGTGTGATTTTAGAGGGCTCGGGAAATTAGGTAGGGTCTACGGCTGTACATTTCCAGGGCCTAATAGAAGAAAGGGACCTGGGTAATTGGTAGAAAAAGATATGACCAATTTCAACAGTATCTGGGGCAGAGCTAGAACTAGTCGTTCTCAAAGGTTTGTTTAAACCACCAGGTCTTCAAGCTCTTACAAAAGGAGGGGAGGGATGAGGCCTGTCTTATTTCTCCAGGAAGGGTGTTCCAGAGGCAGGGGGGCACCACTGAGAAGGCCCTCTCTCTCGTCCCCACCAACCGTGCTTGTGACGGTGGTGGGAGCAAAAGGAGGGCCTCCCCGGAAGATCTTAAAGTTCGAGCTGGTTCATAGAGGGAGATGCTATCATGAAGATAGACGGGGCCTGAACTGTTTACTACTGATGATATTATTACTACTAGTCACTTATCACTGGTATTACGTTCCAGGACCACCCGCGAAAAGTGAAAATCAAAGTAGGGACGTTATATATGTATATTGCATTCCGAGGGTGAGGCAGAAGCAAGGAGAGATTTAAATGCACTGCACACCTTTTTTTTTTTTGCTAGCTACCTTGCTTTGTAATCTCTCTTGATTGGCTGCCTCTCTCCTGAAGGGGAGGATGAAACCAGGAGGTGGGATTAGAATGCCACTCTGGACAATGGGAGGCAAAAACCCGCGAAACAGCGAGTCCGCAAAAAGCGAAACATGAAGTAGCATGGGAACACTGTAATAATACTGCTACTAATGATGTTATTACTAGAAGTCATAGCAGTAATAGTATCATTGATTTCGACCATAAATTTAGGGGGCCCTGCTGAGGCAGGGGCTGGCGAGACCCTAAAAGAGGATCCGGAACACCTGGCAAGACAGCAAGTACCAGAAAAGATTTGTCCCTTTTCCCCAATAACTCACCAAGTTGAAGTTTTATTTCTATTCCAGCTGAAATGGATGACGACCGCAGTAATCTGCCCAACAAGCCGACACGTTGGATGAGCAGAGAAATACAATATTTAGAGTTGTCAAATTCAAATTTCCTGCGCTCGCTCTCTGGACCAGCTTCACACTGTTTGGCTGTGATGTCAGTGGGCCTGGAGGAGTGGCCGGGGGAGGATGCGCCTCCTCCAATCAGAGCGCAAGCCCCGCTTTGGCCACTTAGCCAATGAGCAAACAGGAGATGGGCAGAAGAGAAAACAATTAATGAATAATGATAGGATTATGAATGACCCTTTCTGCGCCGGGATGATAGGTGATCAAGGCAGATAGCTTGAGCTCTCCAGCCTTGATCCTGACCATTGTCCTGAGATTCTGAAGCAACATCTTTGTCTGGCCCTGAAGAGCCAATTCCATTGTCAAAAAAGTCCTGTAATATTGACTTGTTGATAAGATCTGGGATTACTTTCCTGGAATGGGGGAATGGCACAGTGGGGAGAATCTCTTTTCCTCTCGGATGGGGAAGTGTCCTTTATGCTAAATAGCTGAAATGTCCATGGGCTCCATCCCCTAGGTCAGTGGTTCTCAACCTGGGGTCCCCAGATGTTTTTGGCCTACAATTCCCAGAAATCCTGACAGCTGCTAAACTGGCTGGGATTTCTGGGAGTTGTAGGCCAAAAACATCTGGGGACCCAAGGTTGAGAAGCACTGCCCTATAGTCATTAGTCGAAGACCCTCCGAAGTCCAGGAAAAGGGGCTAATTGCTTATTGTCCATGGAGATGGGTTTATTTATTTACTTTACTTTACTTTACTTTACTTATATAGCGCTGTTCTCAGCCCAGGGGCGACTCACAGCGGTGTACAACATAGGAACAACAAAATTCAAGACACAGTATAAAAACAATTCACAATCCAGCATTATACAAAAACATCGTCATTACTACAAAAACCATTCAGCGTCGTCTCATCGTCCAAACCACAATCCAGTATCATTTTCTGTTGTTCCATTCCTATAGTCATTACCAATCATTGCACTTCTTGTTCAAATGCCTTCTTGAACAACCAAGTCTTTAATTTCCTGCGGAATATCATCAGGGAAGGAGCCAGTCTAATGTCCACGGGAAGGGTGTTCCACAGTCGAGGAGCCACCACCGAGAAGGCCCTATCTCTCGTCTCCGCCAGCCGTGCTTGTGAAGCAGGCGGGATCGAGAGCAGGGCCTCCCCGGAAGATCTCAAAGTCCTGGTAGGCTCGTAGGTCGAGATGCGGTCGGATAGGTATCTTGGGCCGGAACCGTTTAAGGCTTTATAGGCCAACACCAGCACCTTGAATTGAGCCCGGTAGCAAATCGGCAGCCAGTGGAGCTGGTACAACAAGGGGGTTGTATGCTCCCTATGTCCTGCTCCTGTTAGTATCATGGCTGCCGCACGTTGGACCAATTGAAGCTTCCGGGCCGTCTTCAAAGGCAACCCTACGTACAGAGCGTTGCAGTAGTCTAAACGGGATGTAACCAGAGCATGGACTACCATGGCCAAGTCCATTGTTAAGGGATTATTGGCCCAGGAAATCTTGCATTACCTGGGCCTTGAGTTGCTAGGCATAGTTCACAAGAAGGTCACCTTGCTCAATATTCTTTATATATACAGACATACATTTAATAATTGGGAATAAGGGGCATATATAGAGTTCATAAGGGAAGAGGGAACTTCGTGGTTACCTGTAGTGATGCCATTTGTCCGATTGGCGTGTCAGTTCTGTCTGGAACGATCTGGCCCAAGTCTCATCCAGCGTAATGATGAGGCGTAAGAAAGCCTCTCCTTCTCACTTACAGCATTCCAAGTGGGTACAAGCAGTATTCTGTCACGCGCTGGGCCTGTAACAGCTGTACTTTTCTATAGGACGTGTACTTTAAGCCTAGCAGGAAGCCAGGGGCACCTCAAAGAGAGGTTCTCAGGGATTTTTCTGAAGTGATGGTCTTTAGAGCCTTTAATGATACAACAAAGTCTTTATTATGGAACAAACAACAAATCTTCAATGGCTGAAACAACACTTCAAGGCTTTCTTAGTCTAATCCTCAGTGGGCTGGCACTTGACTTTGATTAACTGAACTTTCTCTGTAGGAAAAACCCTTTTTAACCTCTCCCAGGCTGTTTACTATCTATGCCTCATCGGTGTGGGTCCTACTACCGATTCCAAATGCGTCTGGGTATCGAGTAGACCTACCAGCCGAGGCTTGAAGATATTTCAGCTGGAATTCCGTGGATCTGTAATGCTGTCCCCCCTCAGAGAATTCTTTGAAACTTCAGGGCTGTTTTTCCTCTGATTGCTGAGAGGCTGTGAACTCTCAGCCAGAGCCTTGGGACCTTTTCCCTGGAATTTCTGTTTCTGTTTCCCCGGATGTTCTTTTTCCCTGGAAGCTCTTGAGAAAAGAAGCTTTTCTACGGGACGAGCTGGTTTACGTCCTATAGTTAGCTTCCTTATG